TAGTGTCTACTTAAACTGTTCTCCGCCTCATTTTATGAAACAAGGACTCAAACAGAGGATGGCACTTGACCTCTTGGCTTGATAGGTAAGTCATTAAGCTTCATGGTTCTGCCTCATTCTTCCCTGCCTTCAGTCCTTGTGTTACATGCATGGCCATTTCTGACTTTTTCACTGAGGTGCTATAGATCTGTTTGCCGGTCTTCATGCTAATGTTCATGCACTACACCTATACCCTCATCACCCAACTCTAATGCTTGCACTTTTCGTCATCAGATGGAAACTCCTGATAAAAACCAGTGACTTGCAATATGATGTGCATTCCTGAGAAGACATGATTTTATGACCTCCTGAATTTTTATTTTGTGAATTTTCTAGTAGTAACAGCTTTTTAAAGAAAAGAATCTTCATTAAAATTTAATAAAACTCCATTCCTAAATGAAGAACTATAGGAAATAAATGGCCTCTGAAACAGAGAATCAGTCTTTCCCACAGAAGACTCTAATAGTTTATCAATCTCAGTGGAACTCTGTAAAGACATACATGTCAAAAACATTAATTTGACTCAGTAAGTTATATACACACACATACCACACACACACTACACACACACACACACACACACACATACACACACTGATCATAATTAAAGAATAAATTGTAAATTTGAGAGTAAGCTTGGGGATACTTGGGAGATTTTATGTAGGGAGAGAGCAGGGCAGAAAGGATGTAACTACTATCCTTGCAAAAAAAAATAATTAAATTAAAAAAATAATGATGAGAAAAATAAGTTGCAATGTCTCTGCACGCTGAAGAACAAAGTTTCCTCATTTCCCTGAACTCACGGAAATAGTAGCCTTCTTTAAGATAATATAATTTTTGTTATCATTTTTCTTCCTTCATCATTCAAAAGAAACCTGCTCTTCCCTGATATCTTCCTCTATTAAAAGTAACTGCCTCCCCTATTTTATCACTCCATACCTCACAATTAGTACTGTTTTGAGATAATAAAACACAGTTGATTTGATAGTTTCATCTTAAAATTATGTATTTAGAAAGTTTGAACAAACTTATTGTCTTCTGCCCTGGTCATTTTGAAGTGTCGGTGTTCTTTTTTGTTTATGAAATTTCTAATCTTTTGATGAAGACAAGATTAATTTTTTGAGATGAATTGGAAACTATGTGTTAAAATAATATACTTCTTTAAGATAATATTTGCTTCTAGATAGGGAAGATTAATTTAAATCTAAGTCAATAACTTTCCAATGCATATTTTAGTATATTTGTTCTGTTCTTGAAACTGAAATTGAGGTAACAATAGAATATTACACCATGACGTTAAGCACAGATGATCTCGGATCATGGGTCTCTTCATTTTAAAAATATGAGCACTGAAGTTGCAAAGCTGTTTAAAAAGACTTTGAAATATCTGACAGACCCTGTTCTCAATGACAGATAATACTTTGCTCCACTGTGTTGGATTCAGCATGGCTCTTTCCCTTGATTACTTAACATGATTTGTAGTGGCTCTATTATAAATCACTTGGACATTTTTGTTTTTATGTTCAACTGAACCAACAGCCAGAAACCAAATTAACTTATAGGGAATAGGTCTACCAGTCAGCATCCACAGTATTTTAGAGTAAATGCAATTAGAATTTTCTTTTTCATGAAAATTGTTTACATACTATGAAACTGCTATCCACATATATTCTTAGTTAAATATCCATGTAATTGGTTATCAAAGCCGCATTAGAATTCAGTAGCAACATTCTGTCCTTTACAACATAAGTTCTAAATTTATGATTAAGATCCATGTGATAATTTACTCACTTTTTAAGACTAATAATATTTCTTGTCTATACTTCTAATATATTTTAAATTAACAACAATGGAAGTTGTACATTAGGATAGATAAAGCCAAACAATTTCATTTTGAACCATGTATTCATAGTGAAACTTTCATTATGGTTTTATATTGATAACACATTTAGACATTAGCATTTAACTTTTTACTCTGAAATAAGTCTTCAACAAAGAATCTTCAACAAGATATGAGCATATGTGTGTCTTGGGAATTGATTTCATGGTCATTTCCTTTTTGTGTCCTATCATAGGCAATCACAATTTAACTCTATATGGAGCTTTATCTTAGTCACAACTTCCTCCTTAATCCCTTTGAAATTCAATACTTCAATAGATTGAACATAGAATGCACTTCTGACATAACTCTTTAGTGGTTTCTACAAAAAGAATTTAGTTTCTCAATCTTTGCTGAGTATTAATAAATCCTGCTAAGAAACACCTAAGTTTAAAAATATTGTTATTCTGTTAGTATTTCCTGTAGTATGGTAAACAGCCATTTGTATAGAGTTTGTCTAAAAAAAATAAATGATACACTGATATTAAATCAATACTGTATGTCAAGAACTCTGATTTCAAATAAAACATGCTGCGAGGCATCGTTGGCGTGTGACTCCGTGGCTATTCATTGCACAGAAAGATAGCAAAGATAACGTATGTACATACAGCCCTGAACCCTGAAAGCTTTTCTTTCACGTGGCTAAAACTGTAAGGTTTTTAATTTAACCTATTGATGCTTAAAAAAGTAACCAATTTACACAGCATAATTTTTAATTATTATTTCTATGCTTGCTTTTTTAAGATAACAACAATAAATCTTGTTTTGTACTTAATTAAATAACTCTACTTTCAGTGTCCATGTGAAATGTAGCCTAGGATAGCTTTCTTAAATTAAACGGGAAATAAAAGTATTTCCAGACTTGAAAAGCATCATATTCATCTTCATATTTTGATTAATACCAGGGACTTAGAAGCAATATCAATATAATTAATATGTAGTTAGAATGAACTTACAGTGTAACCCCTCATTCTACAAAACCAGGCAAATATTTTAGTACTCACAACTATTTAGATCACCTTGACTTTGCGACAGAGTTGAAAGAATTCACATAGTGTCACTCTTCAAACCCTCATTTGGGAAATAACCTGGTGATTATATTTATATATTGAAAACACTGATTAAATTTTGCAAAATCTCAATCCAAAACTTAAATGGAATGTTAAAGATGAAACAGTCCTAGGCCCCCAGAGTCCAGCAAACAAGAGATCTAGATTCACTGCATTCACCAAGAAGCAGTCTCCTTGGTAGGGATGCTTCCTTGTTAGCATAAGCAGACCATGGGGGTCCTTAGGCTCTTCTTCCTGCCCCTCTGTGTCTTTGATTTAGCCTTACACAGGAAGGCACCCCTTTAAGATGTTTAAAAATAAAGATAAAACAACATCTGGGAATATAAGTTGTTGTAAAAAGCTTAAATTTCATTTTATTCCTCAGGCTTAGAATACACACTGAGAATTATTCAAATTAAACCCCAAACCTCAAAACTTGACTAAGACAGCACAAGGCAGTTTCAAACAGAGGCACAGTCCCGAAGTTTGCATAAGGATAGAACCAGAAAATGTTGTATAATTTTCAGGGACATTATATTATAATAAATTTAAAGATTAAATGAAAATAATCTGTTCCTTCAAATACTTTATATTTTGTGTTTAAAAATTCCAACTTGCCAAGAATACATAGATGAGGTACTTTCAAAGAGTAGTACCTTAATGTTCTATTTTTTCTTTTTTTTTTTTTCTTCACATAAAGCCCTGAAAGCAAAGGAAAGAAATATTTACTTAAATAAAAGTTTAAAAAGCCACAGGAAGTTATAAGGAAAATGAGATTATTTGAAAAATATTTACTTAATTAGACTTGTACATTACATATTTATTTAGCAATAGCTTCACTTCACTCTTAAAAGTTTCATAAAATTTTCTCATCATAAGATAATTATGTGGTAAAATGTATGCTTGTATATATGTTGAAGCTATTGGTATTGGTACGTTGGGTGTGTGTAAGTCTTCAGGTAGCAGAACACTGTGCACTTGGCAAGCTGTTTCTGCAGTGACTGCTTTGTCCTCACAACAGCCCTGTGAGGTAGGCGGGAAATTCATTGCCATTTCCACACTGCAGCTGGGTCCCTGACATTCAGAGACTCTCAGGTATCTCTTTCAGGGGTCATCTGTGTGATTCCTCTACTTCTTTGGCCTGCTCCTACATGGTTTCTTTTTTTTTTTTTTTTTTTTTTTTTTTTTTTGTTAAGTACCACATGTGCAAGGACTAACAAGGAAAACTGAAAATCTGAACCCACATGAAGGAAGAAGGTGGCTAAACAACAGTAGATAACACAAATTGGTCAAACCTAAGCACATGGCTTACACATTATCAATGCCTAGCTAAGGTGGAAATAATTGAAATGTGGTGAGGTATAGACACGTCAGAAAAAAAAAAATTAACAACCCATTTCAAGTATAAATGCACTAAAACAAAAGGGGATCAAAACAGATAGATAAACACAAAAACTTTATAATGTTTTGTTCAGGATGAGGTTTGTATTTATTTTTTAAATCAAAATTTCCCTGACATATCTAATGATTGGAGTCTACTCATTTTATCAATTTTAAAACATCGTCTCCTGTTAACATAGAAGATGATGGACAGGACAGAGACCTCTGTCTCCATGTTGTGAACAGTGCATCACCAGTGCACTGAAGTTGCATATGTCATAATGCAGGCAGCAAATCCCCATGCTCCATCAGCTGTGTATGGAGAAAAGTAGTGGGGAGGGCAGAGGAAAATGCTATATTCAAGTCCATGACAGAGTCGCGTAGTATATTGGGAATACCCCCTGTAATTTAAGCAAAGGGAAAAAATGAGATCTGTCATAATAAAGGACTATGGGTCTCAAAACTACTCCCAGAAAAAAATAGCGAAGGAGGCTGTGACTACCTCCATGTGTTTCTATGTGCTGTGCATTACACCATTCGGATCTCACAGTAATTTTAAGCCCCACCCCCTTCTTTAATTTGGCTTTGGGAAAAAGAAATCACAACATCATGAAATAAATATTCATTGTTTGGCTTAGTTCACATATTCTTAATTAAACAGTACCATAGACTTTATTGAGCATTTGAAAATATACACAAGGAGCAATAGCTTTTTCTCTGTATATTTTTTATATCTGACTTTCTTCCAATTAAATAACCCACTTTTGATCATAAAAAGGGCACTTGTTTCTACAGGAGCTGTGTACAGCTTGCTCAGTTCCAAGTACTGTTTCCGCTCAACTTCCTTTTCAAATTGAGGTCATATCTCCACTTGGTCAGGAAGCAAATTCTACAAAGCTCCAAAAATTGACCCCCTAAGTTGTTCTTTCAGATTCTAGTTCTCCATAAAGTTCAGCTAACTTTTTAAACTCGGGTCCCCAGTCTCCAAGGTAGTGATAATCCTGGTCTGATTGCGTAGTTGCAGAGTCCAGTGAGCTGATAGACCCAGCTTCTGACCTCTGACCCTCATAGGCATAAGTCTGAAGAGAGTCATACGGGGGCACACTGGGGTCCAGGTCTGCTTCTGCCAGTCTTTGCTTAATAAACTCCTGAACATCTATAGTCTCCAGGGTGGACAACGACTGGTGTCTAGGGGTGAGCTTCACTTCAGGCCTAATGTCTCTGCGGTACTTGAACTCCTCTGCAGCAGAAGGATTCCTCAAAGCTGTGATGTCAAAGGCCTCAGTATCTTCCTCGCCACCTCCCTCATCATCATATGTGACCACATTCTCCCGCACATCCTCCTCTGAAATGATCAAGGGTTCTTTTTTGCTGCGCCTCAGGGTGATAAAGAGAACCACAATGGCTGAAGAAAAATGGAAACAGGATGAAGTTAGCAGAAAGAAGACAATTCTTGAACATTGGCTATCAGTATTTTCCAGTTCCTATGTTCTACTCCATCTAGAGTTAAGATTGCGTTGCAGCACAATCTTGATCTGAGCACTACAGAATGATGTCACAGGTATTTGGCTACTTCAGAGAATGTCTAAGCCTGTACGCTCAATGAACCATTGTAGATTTGCTGATTTCTATGAATCTGTAATATTCTCATTTGCTAAGATTGTGTCTTGACTCTCACTGCAATATAAACACTAGCCATCCATTATCTAATGTGATGGAAAGAAGCCATTTCAAACTTTTGACTGGAAAATATTTGTTAATAATTTATGAATAATCATTTTGTATAGATTCACAGAGGCCAGGAAATAGTTCTGTAATACTCAAACCTGTTAAGTTTTGGTCCTTTTTAGAAAATCAGTGCAAGCATATTATGTATGGTTGATCTATTCTCCTTTTGAACTACAATATCAGGAACTAATATTTGACATTTTCCTATAGAGCTGCTGTATAGAAATTGTTCACTTCATGACATTTTCCTTATAATTTTTGTATTCCTCACTGCAGAGCTATAGTTCTAATCAATTAAAAAATAAAGAAGCAGAGACTAAGAAGACGGGAAATAACACAACAATCAACAGAATTATTGATAAAGTAGAAGAACTAGGCAGAAGATAACAGATAGATAACAGATAACAGAAGACAGCAGAGATAACAATGCCAACCCAAGGATAATGATATTTGTAGTATAATTTCCCACTCTGTGATACAGGCATTGTGTGCATATGTTAACTCAGATACACACATTTTTAAGTAAGTGAACAACTAGACTATGGTTTATGGTCTTTTAACAAAAGCAGTTACTAACGTTGCAAGCACTGGATAAAGTCATAAAAATGTCTTGGTCACTTGGCTTTGGACATTTCTCAGTGTTTTTTCCTTTATACTCTAGCAAATAAAAAAGGATTTCAGTGAAGCTTTGTTATAAAAACTTATCCACATAAAAAAGCATTAAACACTAGTACAGACATAAGCAGATGATTTGAATTCTTCACAGTGTAAATGCTTCAATACTTGAGTGCATCACATTTACGTAATGAAATGTGAAGAATATTGATATGTTTCTTGAATTGTCATTTCTTATATGTATCTAATATGCAAAAGTTTAAATGTAGTCAAGATAAGTGTCTTTTTAGATATACTTGTTTTAATTTTTAATTTTTTGTGTATAAGTGCCATTCTGAATGCATGTAAATGAATTTCATGCATGCTTGAGACCCACAGACATTAGAACATGGTGCTTGAGCCCTTTTTCATGCTGTCACATGGATGTTGGAAAACAAACTTGTGACCTCTGAAGCAGGAGCAAGTACTCTTAAATGGTGGGTCACCTTTCCATTCCCTCAAAATATGTGTTCCTTCAAAATAAAAGAGTACTTATTTAAATATTGAATGTTTAATGTTTCTCATGTAACTAACAGTTATTTACTATCTGACACATACATGCATAACATGAAAGTGAAAACCTAACTCTACCGCTTACATAGACCTCAGAGTGAATGTCATTCATATTCATAAGATGCTAGGACGTACATTGTAGTTACAGGCAGCTGCAGGTTAATTCAGGGAAGATAACTGAAGCAGACTAGATTATAGTCCAGGCCGTTTTCATTCATATTTTTTGAACAGCTATTTTTGGAGCAGTTGTCATTAAGTAGATACTTTACAAAGAATCTTTTTGTGGGTGAACAAAAAGAAATTTCTATGAATACAGAATCATGCTAGGTGATTAGAACTCCTTGTGCTATAAATAGCCTTTCAAAGAACATTACTTTTAAGTGTTCCTACAAAATCTTTTCTTCCTAACTATTACTACTTTACCTAATTGTTCTGTGAACATTCTAAGCACTTGAAACTGGAACTAAACATTTTCATTAAATCCAATGAACAGAAGCACATCATTTTAAGAACAATAATGAAGATGTTAATTATATGGACATATTAAAGAGAAAAAAATTTTGAAAACTTGAAAATCAAATTTAAATATTCAAATAATCCACCCTGTTTTGGAATTATGTATGTAATATGTGTATATTATCTTATGATAAATTGTTTGGGAAATACAGTATCAAAAAGTCATGGTGTTATAAATTAGGAAAGTGATTTTGCCCTGTTTATTAGTATTATAAATAATCCCAAGATATTGAAAGAAGACTTTAGTTGTATAACCTAGCATGGAATATCAATGATTTGCTGTGCTTTGGAGATATTTTCATTTTTTTATTACTTTATCCTTATTTCTTTTTTCTCTCTTATTTGAAATGTAACAATGAATTTGCGATTATTGTTACTATTATTACTTAGGTAAGTTTGAGACCTTTTCTGACAAAGCTCAATAGAGCAGGATGGCCCTGAATTCCTGATCCTCCTACCTGCTTCTCAGTACTGAGATTGAGATATGTTCTTTCATACTTGGTTTATACAGTGCTGGGGACTGAATTCAGTACTTTGTGGATACCACACACTCATTCTACACATTCTGGTGCATTTCGGCCCTAATATAAATTTTAAAATTATTTATTTATTTAGTATAATTTAATAAGTATAGATGCTTTGACAGTGTGGAGACCTGTGAACCATTTGCACGTAGAGGCCATAAGAAGGTGTTGAATCCCCCAGAATCGGGGTAAGACATGTTTGTGAGCCAACATATAGCGCTGGGAATTGAATCTAGGTCCTCTTTAATGGAAGCAACTGCTGTTAATTGTTAAGATAATTTTCCAGCCTCCCTGATATTATATTTTCAAAAACAAAAATTCAGGTAAATTTCTTCTGGTTCATTTATTAATTTTATTCCCAAGGTAATACAAATTTAGGTAAGTACTTTTAAATGACTTTTTAGATTACTTTTCCTATGATTTTTTTTAACATCTCTATATTTGGACTGCTCAGGGGTTTCCAGATTCATACATAACCCTTGCGTGGCTTGCATTTGCTTTTATTGTATGTTGATCTCAACATGCTCTCTGCAAACAGATATCATCACAGATGTGTTTACCTCCAAAATGTCTGTTGATTATTTTATATGCCAAAATATCTTGGTATTAAATTTGGTAGAAAATGAAGTGGCACAATCACAGTGATTATTTTGATTAGCTTCACAAATGCTATTGGCAGCCTCTGGTTATGACAGTCTCACTGAAAATTTTCCAACTCGGATAGCGAAAGTCTCTTCAGATTATTTAATTGAGAACAAATTGGCAGTAAGTGCTATGTCTTCTACTCTTTCTCACATTCTACTTTTCCCTCACTCTCTATTTCTGCTGCCCCTATATATGGTTTTCTTGCTATATCACACTAAAACTCCAGTTGTCACATGGCTGAATATGATAAATATTTGCTAATCAAGTTATTTATTCTCTGTTTCTGGCATTATCAGTAGATCTGTTGTACATGTGTTTGTTTTCTGTGGTGTTTTTTTTTTCATGACACTACATGTTTCTGTTGTTTTTCTTCTGTCTCTTCTTACTTCTTTTTTTCTTTCCCTCCTTTTCTTCTTTCCTTCCCTTCCCTTTTTGTTTCTTGAGTTCTTTACTGTTCTATGCCTTCAAATTTCTTTTCTTTAAAAATCTCAATATATCTGCACCCAGGACAGTTCTGGTCTTCATTTCTGAACATGTTTACTTGCTATGGCATGTGCATGAAGTGTTTCTCTAGTGCTAAGCTTGCAAAGACTCAAGGTATACTCTGTACAATACAGTCTTCTTGGTAACATGCAAACTCACTCAAATATTTAAGTATCAAAGGTTCTTTGACTTTTATCCAAAGTGTTCTGTTATGAATTCTTCTTTAGCTTAGCTCAAATATACTGATAAACACCTTATCAAAGTATACTTATCATCAACACTGAGTGCAGGGAATCATATGAAAGAAGGGAAGTTAGTATGATATGGAAAGGATAGGAGCTCTACAAGGACCAAATATATCCAGGCACAGGATCTTTTCTGAGACTGACACTCAACCAAGGACCATCTATGGATATAACCTAGAACTTCTGCTCAGATGTGGCCCGTGGTAGCTCAGTAACCAAGTAGTTTTCCAAAGTAAGGGGAACACGGACTATTTCTAACAGGATCTCAAGGGCAGGTTGTTTGACATCCCCCCTCCCCAGGGGAGGAGCAGTCTGTTAGGCCACAGAGGAGGACTTTGCAGCCAGCCCTGAAGATACTTGATAAAACAGGGTCAAATGAAAGGGGAGGAGGCCCTCCCTTATCAGTGGACTTGGAAAGGGGCAGGGAGGAGACCAGGGAGGGAGTGTGGGGTTAGGGAGGGAATGAGGGAGCGGGATACAGCTGGGACACAGAGTTAACAAAATGTAACTAAAAAGAAAAATAAAATTAAAAAAAAAAGAAAGTTCATCATAAGAAAAATCCATGTTGCCATGTTTCTTATCCACATATGCATTGCTTTTTAATTTTTTTTAATTTATTCACTTTATATTGCAATTTTAACCCACTCCCTCATCTCCTCCCAGACCCAGCCTCCATCGCACTTACCCCAACTCTATCCTTCTTCCCTAGTCTACTGAAAGGGGGAGTCCTGACCTACTATCTGGGCATAACCTATCAAGTCTCACCAGAACTGCCTGGATCCTATTCCTTTTTGGGCTGGTAAGGTTGCCCAGTCAGGCGAAAGTGATCAAAGAACAGGCAAGCAATTCATGACAAAGATAGCCCTGCTCCCCTTGCTAGGACACCCGTCTGAGCATGGCTTCTAGGTCTCCTTTGTGTATGGTCCTTTGTTGATACATCGGTCTCTGCTGACCTCCCAGGACCCAGCTTTTTTGGTTGTATTGGTCTCCTTGTGGAGCACCTGTCCCCTCCATGTTCTTAAATCCCTCCACACCCTTCTTCCACAATACTCCCTGTACTCTGCCCAAAGTTTCACTATGGGTCTCTGCATCTGCTTCTATCCCCTGCTGGGTAGAGTCTTTCAGAGGAAATATATGTTAGGCTCTTGTCCTGCTTCCTCTTGTCTGCTGCTTCTGGTGTCTACCCTGTTTGCATTTTGATTGAAAATTAAGCATCTTTTCTAGGGTCTTACTTGTTGTTTAGCTTCTTAACGTCTGTAGATTTTAATGTTTATCTTATATTATGTAGCTAATATCTGTTTATAAGTGAGTATATACCATGAGTGTCTTTCTGGTTCTGGGATACCTCACTTAGCATGATCTCTTCTTCTACTTCTATCCATTTGCCTACAAATTTCATGATTTCCTTGTTTTTCATTTTTGAGTAGTTTTATTGTATAAATGTACCACAGTTTCTGTACCTATTCTTCAGTTGAGGAACATCTAGGTTGTTTCCAGATTCGGACTATTATGATAAAGCTGCTACGAACATGGTTGAGCAAATGTCCTTGTTGTACAGTGGAGCATCTTTCAGATATATGCCCAAGAGTGGTATAGCTAGATCTTGAGGTAAAGAAAGCTATTCTAAATTTTCTAAGAAAGAAACAAATTGATTTCCAAAACAGTTGTAGAAGGAAAATAAAAAAGAGAGCATCTTCTATAAATGGTGTTTGTCTAACTGGATGTCTACATGTAGAAAATGACTAAAAGATCCATACTTATTACTCTGCACAAAATTAAAGTCCAAGTGGATCAAAGTCCTCAATATAAAACTAGACATACTAAATCTGCTAGTAGAAAAAGTGGGAAGGACCTTAATCTCATTGGCAGAGGAGACAAGTTCTTGAACAGAATACCAACAACTCAGGCTATATGACCAACAATAGATGGGGCTCCATGTAACTGAAAAGCTTTTGTAAAGCAAAGGACACTGTTAACAGAAGAAAAAGACAAGCTACAGATTTAGTAAAGCTCTTCGCCAGCCTTATATCTGACAGAAGGATAATATCCATAATATATAAAGAACTCAATAAATTAACTCAATAAATTAAAACACCAACAAACCAAATTATCCAATTAAAAATAAGCTACATCTGAGCAGTGGTTATAGGTCCTCTCCATGCACTGTCCTTGATTGGGGTAACATTCTCTGCAGGGCCTCCAGGGGCCAGGTTTTTGGCTCTGTTGGTCTCCTTTTGGAGCTCCTGTCCCCTCTCGGTCTTTCTGTCTCTTGCTTCTTTCATAAAATTCCGTGCATTCTGCCCAAAGTTTGGTTATGAGTCTCAGCCTCTGCTTCAATACCTTGATCAGTAGTCTTTCAGAGCCTGTCACAAATAGAGAGGACCTAAAAGCCCTACACAGATGAAGCCCATAGACTCACTCTTCAATTGGGTTCCTAGTAAGGGGAGCAGGGGTTGTCTCTGGCATGAACTCAATGGCAGGCTCTCTGATCACCCCCCTTGGGGGTGCAGTATTGTCAGGCCACAGAGAAAGAAAATGCAGCCATTCCTAATGAGACATGATAGGCTAGGGTCAGATAGAAGAGGAGGAGGTCCTCCCCTAGTAGTGGACTAGGGGAGGGGCATAGGGGGAGAAGAGGAAGGGAGGGTGGGATTGGGAGGAGACAAGGGAAAGGGCCACAGCCAGAATACTAAGTGAGTAAATTGTAAAAAATAATAATAATTAATAAAAAATGCAAAAAATGAGCAAAACAGAGAATTCTCAATATAGGACTATTGAATGGCAGAGAAACAATTAAATGCTCAGTGTAGTCACCAGGTAAATGAAAATCAAAGTGACTCTGAGACTCCATCTTACACCCATGAGAATGGCTAAGATCAAAAGCTCAAGTGACAACACATGCTGGAGAGATTTTGGAGAAAGGGGAACCCTCCTCCATTCCTGGTGGTAGAGCAAATTTGCACATATGAATTCTTACTCTTCAATTCCTTCATAGAGTTGCCATAGTTATCACATTGTAGCCACTTACCAAGGAGAATGACAACACAAAGAAGAATAGCGATTAGGGCTCCTGTGCTCAAACCAGCGGAGGACAAGAAGGCTTCTGCATGGCAGGTCCGGACGCGCCCATCTCTCTCGCATGCACAAACCCTGATGGTGAGGGTACTGCTGCTGCTGAGAGAGGGGATTCCACCATCAGAGATCATAATGGGCAGATAATACACATCCTGCATAGTTCGACTAAATCTCCTCCGCCTGGTCAGAATGCTGGCTGTGTTATCTATGACAGACATAAGCAAAACAAAATATACTTAGTAATTCTGCATTAAAGATTCACATTTCCTTTCATGGGTACAATAGGTATATGTAATTTGCAAGCTTGAAAATTGGACAATACAACATGAAGTGGAACTTTAAAGAAACAGCATATATCAGTTCTCAAATTGAGAAACATATTTGAACCATTAATTGATCCAACTTCAGGGACAGGTATAGAATGGCATAGAAGAGCAAGAGATTAAACAATAGACATTTTGGACATAGACATAATACCAGAAACAATTCAAAAGGTGAAAATGGCATAAAGCCTGTACAGAGTCATAGGAAACTTCTGAAAATACAGATTATGGTGTCAAAAGATTGGGCAGATATTTCCATTCTTTCAGTAAATCTTTTAAGTCACTTTATTTCCATTTAATTTAAATGTATAATAAAACCAAACAGTACAAATCTTGCTGAACACTCATTAGAGAGAACATAGAGAAGCCAAGCTGAAATTAAGCTGCAAGGTTCCTTCTCACTGTCTATCAGTGACTGAAGGTAATATGCAGGCTGTAGGTAGAAATGCCAATGATATTACCTAGTTGTGAACCCTGTGTGCCACAAAACTGAATGCCCTGATAGTTTAAAACTTTCTTGAGGATAAACACTAGAATTGCAGTTAAGTATGGTGAGTAATAGAGAAATCAAAAATATTTATGTTACTTTTGAGTTATAAATAGATGTTTTATGAAATGGTGATATAAAACTGTTCCATTATTTTTCAGCTAAAAATCTCACTTTTGCAAAGAACAGAGAATTCAGGAAGTAAAAGCCTCTCACCTAGAAAGGCTTAGCACAGCAGAATAACAAGACCCTGAAAAGGGATGTTTGACACTTGACTGGAAATTCAAAAGATATACTTGGTGGAACACTTACAGAACTTGAACAAGAAACGCTGACCATCAGGAAAGAATATCAAAAGTGGAAAAAAAAACTCACAATAAAGGCAGGTGTTAAGTGGTAATAAATATATAGATAGATGGATAGACTGATGGATAGATAGATGATGCATAGATATTCTGTTAGAGAGGCATTGATGTAGAGAATATAGAGCTATCAAATATTAATCATGGAAGCATTATACATAATATATATTTATATCAAGTCAGAATGGACTTTCTTCTGATAAACCTTCACAATGCTGATGCCAGTAATAATTGATAGAGTGTTTCTTAGCATACTTTGAGTTAAGCTAAAGAAAATTTCATAATAGATTAGCTTGAGCACAGGTCAAATAACCTTTTTTACTTAGGTATTTGAGTGAGTTTGGATAGTATCAAGAAAGACTGTGTTATATTATCCTATGTTACATCATATGTAATATAATATATACTTTAATTTGATAAATATCTTCAGTAGAGGAATTAAATATTATGCAAAAATTATGTCTACTTATTTAAAAGTATCTTCTAAACTGAATAGTGAATTTAGAGTAACTCACCAAATATAATGATAAAATTAGAAAATAAACGATAAAAATTTTGAAATAACAGTGAGACCACACATAAGGTACAGATGTGATGAGTAAAATGTCTATAAGTAATTACAGAAATGTCTAAAATTTTTGAATTACAATTAGCATAATTTTATTACATTATGCAATGTAATTGTGTTATGTAATTGTGAATAGGCATTTTAAGTTCAGTGTAAAAACAGCAACAAATCTGTTCTACTTATTCAAAATAGTATAGTCTTTATTCACTATTTCTTATTCACATTTAATATTCAGAAATTAATATGAAAGACTATTGGATAAATATGGTGAATGACGATGCATAAATATTATATTTGATGGAGAAATGTTATAATAATATTGAGATGCCTTAGAAATAATGAAATCCAAAGCCTCTGAAAAACAATAATATCAACAGTAATTGTATGTTTGTGGAGCTTTGAAGCACCAGGAATACTTTGCAACTGAAAAATTTGTGAGATTTTATTTTCATGAATACATTTAGAGTAGAGTATATTATTGAATTGATGGCTGTCTTTCAACCTCTGTTTCAGAAATGATGGAGGAAACAGAATAGTAGTAGTAGTACAATGGAAATTACTATTGGCCATGAAATTTGCATATAATTTCTTGAATTCATTTTATGAATATCCTGTTTCTATATATTTTTAAAGGGTCCATATAGTAGATATTAATATCTGACCTACTTTTAGTAAACCAGTTGGGATTAAAGTTAAAATAATAAATGCTTTAAATATACATATTCAGTGACTAATAAATTTCATTTTAAAATAACATATATTAGAAAGTATCAAAACCATGTGAACTTGAATGTGAAAGAAATATATACACTTTCCTGGTCATTTCAATAGGTTCTTTGTTTTATAATGAAGTCTTAAAGATAAATATTACATGAAATATAGGAAATCAGACTATAGAAACAATCTTTCCATATCAAACACAACAGCAAAAGCATTTGAGAGTTTCAGTTGTGTATCTTTAATTGGAGTGAATTTTAAAGTTTTGTTTGTTATTTATCTGAAGACAGCTGAGAAGTACAGCCTCCTCCAGACAGATGAAAGAGGCTGGATTTCATATTTTCTTTGTACACCACTTCTCAAGAAGGTGTAAGAGCCATTCATCACTTAACTGTTCGAGGGAACACATGAAACAAGTTTGTCTTTGTTTCCTTTATGTAATATGTTTTGATATGAACTGTACTTGGCAGGATCTTATCTTCTGTTAACTTCTTACTGCATTGTCATCTGCTATGAGATTAAAACCAAAATGAACTAACTAAAATGTGCAATCCTTCCACAGCATAATCCGCTGGATTCTTTGGAGAAGACTCACACCCTCTGTACCTCTTGCCTTTTCCTTCACAAAACCCTAACTATGACTGCAATATCTGTGCCAGCTCTGAATTCTGTCAGTTCATTTAGGTTTGTAAACATCCTGTGGCCTGACTTGTCTGTCGGCCAAAACAGCAACCTTCTGTCCAACATATCAGCATGTTCTCATCTGAACCCCGTTAGGCCATCCCTGTGACCATCTGCCACCCTTCTTCTTCATAAACCTTTGCATTCCAAAGAAACACAACAATCTAATGGTTCTTTTAGATTCACAACTAAGTTTGAAAAATATTGCATACTAGTCACTATACTTAAGCCATATGATTTAAATATAGAAAAGGCTTTCAGATAAGACTAGAAATCAATCAACTAAAATTTATTATTATTTTTTTAATGCAGTGAAGTAGCATTTCTGAGTTTCTTCCCATGTTTGCTGAGCAGTTCTGTCACTCTCATTAAGAAAAATACCTTCTTAGAGAATAAAGGTTTGGAGAGGGGCATGGGAGTAGATGAGGAAGGGAGTGTTGAATTGTGGGATTGGGAGGGAATGAGGAATTGGCTACAGCTGGTATATAAAATGAATAAACTGTAATTAATAAAAAATAAATATATATAGCAAAAAAGAATTGTGTCATCAAAACACCAAAAAAAAAAAAAAGAAAAGAAAGGTTTTATCAACATTTTAATAAAGATATTCAAGAACTCTTTAGTCCATTTGACTATTGATTATACAGAAGGGTTATATGCATATACAACCAAGCATACAAGAGAGAAATTAGAAAACATAAATATTAATGAATCAAAAATTAATATACTATCAGGAAATATGCTCATGAAAAATGTGAGTGTTAATTAAGAGAAGGGTTAAATAAGAAGATATCAACCAGGTAGGTAAGTGTATGTCAGTTTATAATGGCACTCAAGAAGCAGACAGAGGAGTATGAAGGCTCATGGGCAGCCTGTTCATGGTCAGCTCAAGTCTCCATGAGTTATAGTGACAGATATGTCTCAGAAGAAAAGGAGGAGAAAGGAAATGTGGTGGTGAATGAAAGGTGGTTGGGTCTTCAAACTTAAAACATAAGAACTAAATACCAAACCGTTAATAAACATGGCACAACAATATAATGGTAAAAATAGAAGTAAATGTAACTGCGTTAAAATGTTGGATTATGAATGTTGCTAAGGAACACAGCTAAACCATCTACCAGTTAAAGAGTACTTTTAGCATGAAATTAGATGAGACATTTCAGAAAAAAAAATACATCATTGCTCGTGGGATATTTCTATCCCTGAAGAAAGTCTTAATCAGTTTTGGTGAACACATATTCCTACTCTTTCCGTTTGTTGAAATGTTCCCTGCCCTTTATGTAGATGTGAGGTCAGGTTGATCCTGCAATGCCATGGTCCTGTGCAATGAATGTAAAGAGATCAAATAAGGCTGACTATGTGTTCAGAAGAGGAAAACAAAGCAACACATATGAGATGGTAAAAATAGAATTTTTAATTTTATTTTTATGCAATATTTTAAATTTTATTTTTCTAGAGAATGAGTCACCTTTCTCTTGTTCTCATTGTGAGTGGGAGGATAAAAGGCGAGAGACACTGTGGCTTATTAAATCCAGGAGAGAATTGATTAAAACTACTGCATCAAACAACACACACACACACACACACACACACACACACATACACACACACACATCAACAATGCTTGAAACATTCAGAGAGAATAAAAACATACTGTTCTATCTATACTAAAATATCTACCAAAACTCCTTGCTCCAATAGAAATTCACACTTTCCTCCCTTAAGGCCAGAAGGTGCACACAGTGTTTAACTTTGCAGTATCCGTGTTCCCGGAGTCTGCAGACAAAGAGCAGCACAACTCTGTCAGGTGGAGCCAGACAAACGTTAGTAGCTGGTGACCCTGAGACTTGACTGGTAGGGCAGGCAGAGCCACAGTAGACTAGAAACATGTCCAGCTCCTTCTTGACAGGAGCTGAGTGACTCAGCAGGGCATAGTGGCTGCACATCCATTAGAGGATGTCTGATGTTTGGTTTGTAACTTAGGGGAGATTATGCGTGCACTATTTTGTTTAGGAATGGGAGAAATCACTAAATGTTTTCCTGAAACCCTGTGGATAAAAACAGAAT